GGGGGGGGGGGGGGGGGGGTGATTTATATTTAAAAAAGATATTTTTTTTGGGATTTTTATTTCACATGTACGATAGTAGAAGATGAAGAGTTGCCTTCTTTTGTCCATTGTAGTGGTGATATGTTTCCATTTCCAGTTCATGTGGCGTATGAATTTTTTTTTGTAGATTTATGTACTTGTTTATGATTGGGTTCTCTTACAAATTTAAAGATGTTTTAACTTTTAGTTACAATTATTTCTTTTTTATCCTCACGAAGGTGTATCTGACAGATTTTTTCCGTAGAGAGTGGAAGTAAACATTCAATGTGGAGACAGATAGGTGTCCAACTTTCAATATTAAGTCCAGAGCATTATGGTCATGTTGACTGGTCAATGTACATGCTTCCTTTTTGTTCGTTAAACAGTTTTGTCACCATTTTATTTTCTGTTCTGTGATTATTTTTTTCCTTTGTCTTTAATTCTCTGGGACTACTTTCGTATGATTCTGTTTTAATTTTTCTTTCCAGATATGATGGTATTATTGCTGACTCCTTGGAAGCAGAGAGAGCAATCGCAAGGTTTTTTTTCTTTTCTTTTTCTTCATGGCATAAACTACCTTGTGGAGTCGTTAGTCATGTAATCTTTGTCTATACTTGCAATGTGGTAACTGGTTGTTGGTCTAACGGTATTTGTGATGTGCTTCATGGACTTAGTTGCAATAGGCATGACTACAGAATATGGGCACACAACTAGTGCAACTTTTATTTTTTTGATTTTTTTTATTATAAACTATTGTAGTTGGAATTGTGTCCATCTCTTCCTTTTTAGATTTTGTGTTAGTTTTTAGATAATAGATATTAAGAACACGTCCTAATTGCTTTTGATCAACCGGAAATTCGTTGATGTTTAAGCATGGGATTCTGTTAGTCTCATGTTCATTGGTACATAGCTTATTGGAGATTTAACATGCTAAATGTGAATTGAGAGGGTTTTATAATACATTGTTTCATTTTAAAGTATAACCTTTAAGCTCCAAGAGCTGGGCTATTGGTCTAGATATCAAGGCAACATATTTCATTTTAAAAGTGAAATCTTTTAGCTTCAAGGGTTGGGCAATTGATATACATTAAGTGAGCCGTATAGATTGTTGTAGAGGCACGTTTATAGAAATGCGAAATAGGTGGCAAACGTGTGCATGACTCAACTAGTTAAAATATTATTTTTCTCATAGAGGGTAGATTGTTTAATCCACTCCAACATTGTTGGACTCAAAAAAAAAAAAAAAAAAAAAATTAAATAAGTGAAATTGGTGGCTTATAAAGATTGAGTGTACTATAAGTAAATTATTTTTTCACAAGTGAAATAACAATTGAAGATGTTGTAAACCACAAGTTGCTCTAAGAGGGAAATTCAACTTTCAAAATGTAATTTCAAATATGTTTTCGTTGGGATATTGTTATGAAAACAAAAGGCAACTTATAAACTTAACTACCGAGTACTGTGAGTTAGTTTGATTGGAAGAGCTATCTTATAGAGAAGTTATCAAAGCTGACCTGCAAAAAAAAAAAAAAAGAAGTTAACTTACTGTCTGTCGATATATTTCTACATTTAAGAAATGATAAAAAATAAACTAACAAATTTGTTAAAAAATAAATTAGCCATGATCAGTGTTCACGATTCTAATAAGAATCCAACCCACAATAAACAGTGCCTGTTTTTTAAGGAACATTATGTATGGAGATTCCAATGGTTCTGATTTTAGTGGGAGGAATTGGTAATAGTTTCAAAGAAACAAGACGTTTAGCTTACATGTGAGCTTGAAACTTGTAAAAGAAACTGCGATGAAAAGGTAAGTTCATGGGTTTGCTTGTGCAGATAACAATATCTCGGGTTCTATTGTTTCACATGCTTAAAAGCATATGATAATCATGTAACATATCGTTTTAGTTTGAGAATTGAGATACTATGATTAGTGAGGTTTATATTTCTGCAGCCTTATGCAGGAACCTTTTTGTTCATTACCACTCATATGGATTGTTCGAGAAGATACCCTAGCCAACCGCTTGCCAATGTATGAAGAAAGGGGCTGGAAACGTCTTATTTCACATTGGAATAGTTCTTTCAGAAGGGCTAATGTTGTCGTGTTCCTTGACTTTGCCCTCCCAGTAATTCTTGCCTTCATCTCTATTTTTTATTGGATGTTGTGGTTATTTATAGTAAGTCTTGTGTTTCACATTCAACACTCTTATGCCTTTGCCACTTTCTTACCATATCAGATGTTGTATAGCATTTTGGACAACGGAAACTTCCATGTGATTCCTGGATCCCCAGCAGATGTTTATGCTGCAGAAAACTACAAAAATGCTCACTCCAAAAGTCAGTTAAGAGAGAAAAATGGATTTGATGAAAATGATATACTGGTTCTCGTCGTTGGAAGTTTGTTCTTCCCAAATGAGCTGTCGTGGGACTATGCTGTGGCTATGCATAGCATTGGACCTCTACTCAAAATATATGCAAAGAGGAAGGAAGTAGGAGGATCATTTAAATTTGTTTTCCTATGTTGTAATTCAACCGATGGGTCCCATGATGCTTTAAAGGTATTTAATCTCTTTTGCACTTTGAACTTACAATTTTATTTATTTATTTGTCATCACTTGGGGGCTTGAAACAGTTTTACTTAGTTCATGTATCATATGGGCGCATTGTGCCTCCTTTGCTTCAAGTGTGTGAAAGGATATCCAAGTTGTATACTGATGTGGAGATTGAAGGGAATACTGTCTAGTTCCAACTTTTATGATGTATAGTTTATCTGAAATTTCTAACTTGATTCTTCTCTGACCATTGGATGATTCATCGCCACTTACATCCTATACTGAAAGCACATGAAGATTGTTTATAAAGGTTATGCTTGTGGTTTGTTTCTTCATTTCCTTTTTATGGTCTTTAACATCTTGTGGTGGGGAGAAAAGGAACAAAATAGAGGCATGTAAAATTATGAAGAAAAAAAGGGAATAGACATTGTTATTGTAATAGCCCAAGCCCACCGCTAGCAGATACTGTCCTCTTTGGGCTTTCCCTTTCGGGATTCCCCTCAAGGTTTTTAAAACGCGTATGCTAGGGAGAGGTTTCCACACCCTTATAAAGGGTGTTTCGTTCTCTTTCCTAACCGATGTAGGATCTCACAATTATATTCTGAAGTTGACGATCGATAGATTTTCCCATTTTTCTTATTGTTCTGGATCCTGGTTGAACAGAATTTGGGTGAATACTGACTTGATGAAGTGTGTAATGGATTAACATATTATTCCGAAGTCTAGCTTTTGTTTTCAAATGATCATGCACCAACTAAACCATGTGAAGCAAGCTTATATTCTAAAGTTTTCATATTATCCTCTTTCTTGTTGTCTAATAATTTTCCAATGATATGTTACCAGTTATTCCAGCATGGAGTTCAATTTGGCCACGTAGATGATCTTCCTTTGCTTCTTTAGGAAGTCAGTCATTTGCTTTCTTTCTTTTTAAACGCTTCACACACTTACCTGGTTTCTCTTATTTTCTTGGGTGTAAAATTATATTGAATTTGCAGGGATTGTTTATTGTTTGATGTAGGATTCTTTTTCTTCTTCATCTTACACTGTTATGCCAATGCTTGTTATTGGCCTCATTATTCTTGATCTCCGTATACTCCTTTTTGGTAACTTTCCTCATTATCATGTACGCTGTTGTTTTACACCTGATTTTTCTCAAAATAATAATAGTAATAATAGTAATAATACTACTAATGAATAAGTAAACAAATAAATAAAAGAAGAAGAAGAAAATAAATTATCCTTCCTAAGTTCTTTTTACTTCACTCTTGGGATCTGTCTTACGACAAGAGAAAAAGGCGGTGTCTGACAAGGGATCTGTCTTTAAACCTACCTGCAGGAAATTGCTTCACGTCTAGGACTTCCTGATGGATCTATAACACATTATGGCTTAAATGGAGATGTCAACAATGTACTGATGATGGCTGACATTGTGCTTTATGGATCTTCACAAGAAATTCAGAGTTTTCCTCCTCTACTTATCCGAGCCATGTCCTTTGAAATCCCAATCATGGTGCCTGATTTACCTGCCTTGAGAAATTATGTAAGCTTGTTTGAGATATGCTGCCATGATGTAACTGCACAACTCCTGACATCCCCCCTCATCTTTCTCCTTGTGCTGTTTCTTATCTCATGCATTTTCTCTGGTTCTGGTTCTCAGATCGTTGGTGGTGTCCATGGGGTTATCTTTCCAAAGCATAATCCGGATGCCTTATTGAGCTCTTTCTCACGAATGATATCAGATGGGAAGCTCTCCAGATTTGCATGTGCTATAGCTTCTGCTGGAAAATTGCTTGCTAAGAATATACTTGCATCAGAATGTGTTACTGGTTATGTACGGCTCCTGGAGAATGTTCTGAATTTCCCATCAGATGTTAAGCTTCCAGGTTCTGTTTCCCAGCTTCAACTAGGGTCATGGGAATGGAATTTGTTCAGGAAGGAAATGGTGCAGATAATTGACAAAAATGCAGATAATGAAGGGAGGATTGCAGCATTAAGTAAATCCAGTGTTATTTTTTCTCTTGAAGCACAATTTACCAGTTTTTCTGAGACTGAAAATGGGACTATGGCGCAAGATGTTCCAACTTCGCAAGACTGGGGTATTTTGGAGGAAATAGAAAATGCTGCAGAGTATGGAACTGTTGAAATGGAAGAGGTATACTATGGAACCCTTCTTGAAATTGGATTACACTCTCGAACCATTTCCTTGTCCTGTTTCTGAACTTCCCTTCTCACTTATCCTTCTTGAATAGACAGCTAAATGTAGAATCGTCTTCCCTTTCTGTAGTTTCAAGAAAGAATGGAGCGAGATCTTGGTACATGGAATCAAATATATCGAAATACCCGGAAATCAGAACAACTCAAGTTTGAAGCAAATGAATGGGATGAAGGCAAGCTTGAAAGGATAGGACAGACTGTAACCATTTATGAGATATACAGTGGTCCTGGAGCTTGGCCATTCATGCACCATGGTTCTTTGTACCGTGGACTAAGTCTTGTGCGCTCCATTTATTCTTTGTTTTATCAAGTGACACTTTCCATTTACTTCTACTTGTTTCTGTTTTCTTAGTCAATTGCGTAAGAATCGGTTTCACTCATCTATTTTTTTAGAACTGCTCATAACTGTTTTATTTCTAAGCCCGAATTCTTTTGGAAATTCATGCTGGAAGCTATTTCATTTAGTTTGAAGTTTTACTAATTTGATGCTTAGCTCTTGAAATTTTCCTTAAAAGTTTTTGAAACTGTGTGGAATGAGTTCCTTCTTTTCCCTTTCTCTTGGATATTCTTTTTCACTGTTCTATTCCAATAATTGAGTTTCGTTCACTTCTTAAGGGCACATAAGCAAGTTTTGATCTTGTTGTGTTTGAGTTTGTAAAGAATTTATCTTAAACTTTATGCAGTCCACAAGAGCACTGAGGTTAAGATCTGATGATGTCAATGCTGTTGGACGGCTTCCTCTCCTGAATGACTCTTACTATCTGGACATTCTCTGCGAGATTGGAGGAATGTTTGCCATTGCAGATAAGATCGATAACATTCATAAGAGACCTTGGATTGGGTTTCAATCGTGGCGGGCTTCTGGAAGAAAGGTATTGATATACTGGTTGACTATTACAAAGTATAAAGTTTGCTGAAGTGTCCCCCTCCCGTTCCTTGGGTGGATAGGGTGTCATACAGAACTACAATTATCAGTCAAGCTTTTATCTTTAAACAGGTTTCCTTACGCACACAAGCTGAAAATGTTTTGGAAGGCACTATAATGGACAATCCTAAAGGAGATGTTATATACTTCTGGGCACACTTGCAAGTGAATCGTGGAAGCACTGCTCCTACTTTCTGGTCACTGTGCGATATCTTGAACGGTGGTCACTGCAGGTAATTTACATATCTCATAGGAAAAACATGTAATCTAAAGCAAGTTTGGATGAATGCTCTATGCTGGGATGACATCATTTGATTGTATTTTACTTGTACATATTTATTTCTCTAGTGCATTTGATTTTTTTGAGCCAGGAAACTGCAAACAATGATTCATAATCCCTTGTTCCTACACATATGAGACATTTTGAGTTTCTGGATGTCATTTGGAAAAGATGTTAAAATCGTATACGAAGAACTGATGCCTGTGTCAATGTCCGTTGTGGATGTGCATACCTTCATAAATGGCCTGAAATTATATAGTAAATGTATATAAAATATGCCTGAGAATGCACTAATGTTCGGTTTTATTTATATTTCATGAACATTTGATTGAGTGGGCTTGACCCTTGTTATAGTTGAGAAATAGCTATAGCTCAGTCTACTCCAAACGATTGCAGAGCCACCTTCGAGAACACCTTTCGTAAGATGTTCGGGTTGTCATCAAATGTGGGAGCTCTTCCCCCTATGCCAGAAGATGGTGGTCGCTGGTCTTCCCTCCATAGTTGGGTGATGCCAACCCCTTCCTTCCTGGAGTTCATCATGTTTTCCAGGTGATTAGTAGAAAGTTTCCTGGAGTTCATAACCCACCCATATACAGTTATTTTCCTTCATTATTTGGTCGTTGTTTTAATGTAAAGGAGGCAATCTACAGGATGTTCACCCATTACCTTGATGCTCTGAATAGAAACCAGAGTCAGCCAAATGGATGTTTGTTGGGTTCGTCATATCTTGAGGTATGGATTTGAATCCAATCCATTTCCTTCCATACAATTCTCTCTCTCTCTCTCTCTCTCAACTCCTGTTAGTTTATATGATGAACAGAAGAAACACTGTTACTGTCGGATATTGGAAATCCTAGTCAATGTCTGGGCTTACCACAGTGGGCGGAGAATGGTTTACATCAACCCTCAATCTGGTTTCCACGAAGAACAGCATCCAGTTGAACAACGCATGAGATTCATGTGGGCAAGATACTTCAACTTCACGTTGTTGAAGAGCATGGATGAAGATCTAGCAGAAGCTACTGACGACGAAGGCAGCAAAGACAAAATGGGGCTATGGCCATTAACAGGAGAAGTCCATTGGAAAGGGATTTACGAAAGAGAGAGAGAAGAAAAGTACAGACTGAAGATGGAGAAGAAGAGAACCACAAAAGTAAAACTAATTGAGCGGATAAAATTTGGATACAAGCAGAAATCACTTGGAGGATGAGATTTAGAATTCTGAGCCTTTCAGAAAGTGGTAGAACAGAAGAGATGAAAAGAAAGACTCTCCTCCTCCTCCTATGATAACATTTGGTACGTAGTAGAGGGAATTTGAGTTCTTTCTGAATTATAATTACTCACACTCTACAGAGCAATATGTTTGTTCCAGGCAACAGAAGTGAGGGAAGGCACAAAAAGGTGAAATTGCAGCTCGGTTCTTGGAGAGGCGCATATTAGCAGAGAAGAACATCAGGTTTTTTTTTTCTTTTGGTTTTGGGAGAGGTGCTTCACTATTCTTTATGATTCTTTCTTCTTTATTCAGCATACCTCGTATATCAACAAGGATATAGGGAAATTCTTTTTGGTACTGTACAACTGAAATATAGCCATTATTAAGGCAATTTTGGTCCCATCATTGTTATGTTTTTGGTTCTTTTTCTCTGTCTGCAAACTTTATTAGGAATCGTGACTCTCTACAATAGTAGATGGTTTCATTGTGATGTTTTTGGTTCTTTTTCTCTGTATGCAAACTTTATTAGGAATTGTGACTTTCTACAATAGTAAATGGTTTCATTGTGATGTTTTTGGTTTTTTTTCTCTGCAAACTTTATTAGGAATCGCGACTCTCTACAATAGTAAATGGTTTCATTGTGATGTTTTTGGTTCTTTTTCTCTGTTTGCAAACTTTCTTAGGAATCATAACTCTCTACAATGATATGATATTGTTTACTGTCGTCATTGCTAACAAATTTTGTACATAGTATCAATAAATTTGCCCATATCTCCTCCTATTGTAGCTTTGGAGGTCTCGTCTGGTAAGTAGTAGCCTAGTCTCTCTCTCTCTCTATATATTTTTTTGCTATAAGATCGAAATATTGACAATAGGTTTGAAATGGAGTTGTTTTGTTTTTAATTTTGAATGTTAAACCACGATTTAAATATATGAATTTTTTGTTCACTTTTAGTTTGGTTTTCTCTGATCCTTTTTAGTTAGTTTATTGTAGATTTTTTTTTTGATGCCGCGACACTCTTTAGTATATGAAATTCGTTATTATTGTTTAATAGAATTTAATTTTTACCGAACTAAATTTAAGATTTACCGAGAGTGCCTAGTCCTCAAATTATAGGACAAAGAAGATGGAATGTTAGAGAGATTTTTTTTGTTTGTAATGTATTTATTATTATTTTAATTTTAAAAATTGCTGTGAATTATTTTTAATTGATTAATGTATTCAGTTAATTAGAGATTAAAATGAAACATTTTTAAAGGTCGAGTTTAATTTTGAACTTTAATGATAAATTTAAATATCTTAATGTTAAAAAATATAATGAACTTTTTTCAAACCAAACATAAAATTTCCATAATTTATAATTCCTAAATTTGAAAAAGATGGAAATGATACAAAAAAAAAAAAAAAAAATTATTATTTGCGTATTTTGAATAAATGATATGAAAACAACTGCTTAACCATTGTTTTCTTTTAAATTATATATAAATTAATAGTCGACATTTTTCTTTAGAAAAAAAAAAAAAAAATTATTATTTGCGTATTTTGAATAAATGATATGAAAACAACTGCTTAACCATTGTTTTCTTTTAAATTATATATAAATTAATAGTCGACATTTTTCTTTAGAAAAAAAAAAAAAAAATTATTATTTGCGTATTTTGAATAAATGATATGAAAACAACTGCTTAACCATTGTTTTCTTTTAAATTATATATAAATTAATAGTCGACATTTTTCTTTAGAAAAAAAAAAAAAAAATTATTATTTGCGTATTTTGAATAAATGATATGAAAACAACTGCTTAACCATTGTTTTCTTTTAAATTATATATAAATTAATAGTCGACATTTTTCTTTAGAAAAAAAAAAAAAAAATTATTATTTGCGTATTTTGAATAAATGATATGAAAACAACTGCTTAACCATTGTTTTCTTTTAAATTATATATAAATTAATAGTCGACATTTTTCTTTAGAAAAAAAAAAAAAAAATTATTATTTGCGTATTTTGAATAAATGATATGAAAACAACTGCTTAACCATTGTTTTCTTTTAAATTATATATAAATTAATAGTCGACATTTTTCTTTAGAAAAAAAAAAAAAAAATTATTATTTGCGTATTTTGAATAAATGATATGAAAACAACTGCTTAACCATTGTTTTCTTTTAAATTATATATAAATTAATAGTCGACATTTTTCTTTAGAAAAAAAAAAAAAAAATTATTATTTGCGTATTTTGAATAAATGATATGAAAACAACTGCTTAACCATTGTTTTCTTTTAAATTATATATAAATTAATAGTCGACATTTTTCTTTAGAAAAAAAAAAAAAAAATTATTATTTGCGTATTTTGAATAAATGATATGAAAACAACTGCTTAACCATTGTTTTCTTTTAAATTATATATAAATTAATAGTCGACATTTTTCTTTAGAAAAAAAAAAAAAAAATTATTATTTGCGTATTTTGAATAAATGATATGAAAACAACTGCTTAACCATTGTTTTCTTTTAAATTATATATAAATTAATAGTCGACATTTTTCTTTAGAAAAAAAAAAAAAAAATTATTATTTGCGTATTTTGAATAAATGATATGAAAACAACTGCTTAACCATTGTTTTCTTTTAAATTATATATAAATTAATAGTCGACATTTTTCTTTAGAAAAAAAAAAAAAAAAAAAAAAAAAAACCAGTAACAAAAACTATATGATTTATTTATTTTGTTTTTAAAGGTGAAGTAAAATTACATCTTTAGCCTCAGCTTCTTTAATATATATATTTTTATTATATGTTATGTTATAAAAACGAAAAGAAAAAGAAATAAACCTAATCGAACCAGTGCGGACCCCGTCTTTTTTTCCCTCGCTTTTGCATTCTTCTTGCCCTTCCACCGCTGCAGCAGCCGCACTGCGAATTCCCGCCGGCACGCTCCACCGTCGCTTCTCTTTCTCCTCTTATTATATCACTTCTTCTCCAACCTCGCGCCGCCACGACTACCTCGTCTTCTTCTGCAGCCCGCATTCTACCTGAAACATACTCTATTCGTTACTTCAAGCGCGCAGGATCGAGAACGGCGCAATCGATTTAGTACTTTTAAACTCCGCCTCGGTGCTCAAACTAGGTATTGACGCTTTCTGATAATCATGGAAGTTTATAGTTTGTTGTTTCTTTCCCGCTCGCATGGAGAACGACAGTTCGTGGAGGTCCTCTTTCCGTCGTGGCATATCAGTTGTTTTGCTTGATTTTTCTTGTTTATTGCGTCCTCTGTTATTTGCCTTGGTAAAAGTAACGACGTGGGAAAAGCTTCATGTACATTGTTGGTTTTTCGAATCCTGAAAGAAATCCGAGTGTTGGTGAAACTTAGTTGTGCCTCTCTTGAAGCGTCGTATATATATAATCCATGGTTTTTCTCATGTTGTTCATTTATCTGAATACGTGCAGTTTTCGAAGGCGTTGTTACCTAGCTAAATGGAGGAGGAACTAGGAAAACCGGTTGCTGAAAGGATCCTTCCTCCGACCGAACAGGTGCTATATGTATACTTTGTGTATACACGTCCCTCCCATAGGTCGTATTTATTTAGTAATGAGCTGACCGACAAATTTTTGTTTGATAAATGATTACAATTAAGTCGTGATTTTCTTGATTTGTTCGCATCTATTTTTACTGTATCGTTCGTACGTAGGCTGCCTCGGGCCTTACTAATTCCTTTGGACAATTATACAACTCCACAGCATTTGACATTTAGAAACTTGTAGAATATTTAATTTCTTAGCTGGGGGGGACACCATTTGAACTTATGATTTTCTTCCATAAAAGTAACAGTTTTTCTTAGAATAAAATTGAAGAGACATCAATAGGAATCAAACTTATGATCTTGAAGGCATGTAGTTTACAAATTGGCCTTTTGACCATTGGACCACCCTAGAGTGTTTAACTTTATATCATCTAGTATACAAATTGCCATTTTTAATGATTGAATTCCAAATGTGTGGTGAAAATCTGTCCTATGAGTTTTTCAAGGTCCTTTCAAAAAGTATGGCGACACATAATTTTGTCCATGAATGGATTACTATGATTCGGAATGTGATTGATGTGAAGTACTACTAGCTTGGGTGTGTTTAAACTTATATCAACCTTGTATCTCGGTTGTCAACGCATTTCAAATGAATTTTTGTTTTATAAACCACTTTCTTGTTATTTTCTCCATCTCAACTTTGAACTTCTAGGTGATGTTTTCTCATGTCAGTCACGTACTTCTATGCAGGAGGTGTTAAATGAGGAAGATGTGAAGATTAAAAAGTATCTACGGGGAGAAGGTGCTAATCTAGAGGTATGGATATGGGCTTTATGCACTACATTTTTCTATTTGTATTTTCTTTTCCCCCTTTTAAATATTCGTTATAATGTTTGATGCTGAATGTCTCTTTCTAGGTTCTGAAAGATAAAAAGTTGAAGGGTCAACTTTCTGTCATAGAAGATTTATATGGGAAATCTGCTAAAGCTGCTGCCAAGGTCGAGAAGGTAAATTCTCATTCTTTAAATCTCTTAAATTATGTGTCTCCAATCAGCATAAATACAAGGGGTATACCATGAAGAGGTGACCCTTAAAGCTAAATGACCACATCTGTTCCCTCCCTTGTCAAACCACTCGCTCTTCAGGATGCACTTGATAGCATTAGACAAGAGAATTTGTTTCTATGAAATGAGCTCAAAGATTTTATTTAATGATCGAAGTTCAACTAGACTTCACATTTCCCTCCTTTTATTTGAATTTTTTCCATTGCACTTGCAATTTTTCCTTTGATTTATTAATTTTTTATTTTATTTTTAGTGGCTTATGCCAAGTGAAGGAGGCTACTTGGAGGCTGAAGGATTGGAGAAGACATGGAGAATTAGACAAGAAACAATTTCTCACGAAGTAGATATCTTAAGTAGAAGAAATCAACATGATATTATTTTACCAGGTTACTCTTATAGCCATTGTGTTTTCTTTGTCATACCTGATACCATTTTCCTTCAAACCATTATTATAAAATTTGTTCCCTTTTATTTGCTTGTGTTTCTTCTTCTCATTGTTGGCCCTTGACTTCTATTGCCTAGCCAACATGTTTATACTCTGTGACGTTGTAAATTTCGGCTTAGGTTCTGTTGCAAGCAATGTGGTTTTCATGATATGTAGAAAGTCTTTCAATTTTCTGGTTGCAAGATTTTTAACTACATTGAGATGTACTCTTCTTTGAGGTTTATGTCATGGAGACTTCTATTTGCTATCAGGTTTTTATTTTTTGTTATTCTTTTCCGTGGGTTCTCTAGAAGACGGCTGATCTTTCTTGTTGTAACATAACTTCAATATTTCTATTCGCATTTTGTCATTTTATGTGATGGAAAT